AAAAAGGAACTGAAAGAGCTATGCTTGGAATATCACGTTTCACTCAAATGAGAGAAAGAATCCAGAGTTTCGACCTCCGTCAACGATCAAGAATCAGGGACGCTATCTCGTTTGCCAAGGCGTCAAAAATCAGATGGGCTGGTCACGTAATGAGATTTAGAGACAACCGCTGGACTAGAGCCGTGACCGACTGGATTCCACGGCATGTCAAAAGACCGCGTGGCTGCCCACCTACCAGATGGTCAGACTTCTTCAGCAAGATCATGAACGATCTGTTTGAGGCTCTTTGTGTTCCTAGAACGAACAGATGCCATTGGGCTACACTAGCACGCAACAGGGACAAATGGAGACGTTACTGGTGCCCGCTCGAGCAAACTGACGATTAACGGGAAGTCAAGTGATCAAGTGATCAAGTTTATAAAAACACTGAAGAACAAAGTGGCAAGTAACTATACAAAATCTAAAAAAAGACAGAAAAATAACCTGGCAGTCATATCTACTTTTGACTTGAATAGAGAAGTCACAAGAAGCCGCAATAAAAATAAGCAGGCCTCAGAAGGAGGAAGAAACTGCGATATTAGCATTACCATTTGGATTCCATGAATCAGATCAAACAATAAACCCAAATTAAGAATGTCCAGACAGATACAGTCACCAAAAACCTGGCAGTAGCAAATGATAATCCTCTGAGGGAAGACACCTTCATCCTAGCTGACTGCTAAAAGAGCACTCTAAAAATGTTTTATTGTTTTGTTCTTTTAGGGTTTTTTGGGGGGAGAGGGGCAGACCAGCTTTGCTCAGAGCTTATATCAGGTGCAACCCCTCCTCCCACTCCCCCAAAATAAGCAAAATAAAACAGTCCTCTGACTACAAATATTTGCAAAACTCTCGAAAGTTAACTGCAACATCAGGCAATTCACTTTCCTGTTCCTTTTTTGAATCTCTTTCCTGAATGTCTCCCTAATTATTCTTTAAACAAGTTCAGCAGGGGGTATGGTGCCGCCAGCAGGTCAATCTGTACCTGTGAGGCAAGTGAATCAGCAGCCTGATGGCACCATCAAGCCTTCAGATACCCCAAAATTGCTGCTCTGCCTTTGGCCAGACCCCAAAAACTTGGCAAAGTTTACCAAGAAAGTAAACGGCCAAAAGTTAGGTATGTGGGAGACACACCCACAAACCACCTCCAGCTCAGCTATATAAGTGGAGGCATGGCCTCTCTGGTTCCTGATTGAACTGCTTAACGGCCATGATCCCAGAGACTCAGAAACGAATCTCGGAAACCAAAGGTTTTTGGCAGAAATGAGTCCTGTTCTTGCAGTAGGTTACTGGGGCTGGGCCACTCCAGGTGGGAATAGGTTTCATGCCTTGGCCTGTTCTCCTTGGCAGCCCGGTGACTGCCATCCTCCAGAGGCCACTGGACAGTCAGGTTTGGGCCTGCAGTGACGAGACACACGGGGCCTCACCAGATGGGGGTGGAACTGGCCCTTTTCTCCCCATCCCAGCGAGACCTCAAGTTGCTGCCTAGAAATGGCCTCTCTGGCTCCTGATCAAGCTGATTAATGGCCATGATCCCAGAGACTCAGAAACAAATATCAAAACCCAGTGGCTTTTGGCAGAAATGTATCTGAACCACATACAAGGTCAAAGCTCCAGAGGCAAAAGGACTTAATCCAGAGCCTGGCAGCTTGTGGCAGAAAAATGAATGGACCATATGTTAAACTACGGCGCCATGCCTTCCCAGGAGTGAAAGGGTGTTGCTCCCTTCCGCCTTTCTCCCCACCGGCAGCAAGGTGGCCGCCGCCTCAGAACTTATAGGAAAGCCAGGTATGAGCCGGCAGTGACGGGGCAACTGTAGTCTCATGGGAAGGGGGTCGGTACCGGCTCGTCCTTCATGCCCTACCGAGGTCACAAGTTGCCCCCCATGAGCGGCTCTCCAACACAGACATGACTCCAGAGGCAAAAGGACTTAATCCAGAGCCTGGCAGCTTGCGGCAGAAAAGTAAATGGACCATGCGTTAAACTATGGCACCATGCCTCTCCAGGAGGGAAAGGGTGTTGCTCCCTTCCGCCTCCCCCCCACACCCCCCCCCCCGCAGCAAGGTGGCCACCTCCTCAGAGATTATTGGAAAGCCAGGTATGAGCTGGAGGTGACGGTGCAACTGCAGTCTCATGGGAAGGGGGGGCGGTACCAGCTTGTCCTTCACGCCCTACCAAGGTCACGAGTTGCCTCCCACAAGCGGCTCTCTGGCATGGCCATGGCTCCAGAGGCAAAATCCAGAGCCCGGCAGCTTGCAGCAGAAAAGTGAATGGACCATGCGTTAAACTATGGCGCCATGCCTCCCTGGGAGAGAAAGGGTGTTGCTCCCTTCTGCCTTTTCTCCCCCACGGCAGCAAGGTGGCCGCTGCCTCAGAGCTTATAGGAAAGCCAGGTATGAGCCAGTGGTGACAGGGCAACTGCAGTCTCATGGGAAGGGGGGGAGGTACCAGCTCATCCTTCACACCCTACCGAGGTCCTGAGTTACCCCCCACGAGCAGCTCTCCGGCACAACCATAACACCAGACGCACAGAAACCAATCTCTAAATTATCTGGCTCTTTGCAGAAATCCAAAATTGCATGGCCACAATAGCGGCCGCGCAAGATTATATGATTCTCATAACCAGCTATAGAAAACAAAGTATTTCACAATGCTCTTTCAGCAATTCTGATTGTTGAGGGGGAAATTCTAAACAATAATGGTACATCTTTTGTCGAAATGATGAATGTAATCAATGTAGAGAAGAGTTAAGTAGAAATCATCTGCCTCACAGGCATTGGGTGGGGTCAGAGGGGGGTATATTAGGGTTCTTTGTGGTGAAAAATGAGTACTGGTGAAGGGAAAGGTGTTTGATCATTACATGACCGAGACTTAAACCTGAAAGCTTAGTAACTTTTCACACAGTGATTCAATAAATAAACATAAGACAAAAATAAATTAATAAAACTGTGAAAAAAAAAGTAAGGTGGAGTTCATGCCCAATTCATTCAGATAATCAGTTGGTGAATAAATGGCAGTACTCCTACATAAAAAAAAAAAAAAAAACAAGTTCAGCAATGTCGTAAAAAAATGTTTGTTATACTTTATGCAGTGTATTTAGTTATTTGATATCAGGAAATTTTTTATGACACCAAAACCACAGGAAACAAAGTCCTCCTACAGCATTATGATGGAGCATATTCTAAAAATCAACACCAATAAGGCATTAAGAAAGATGAAGCTTTGCATATCCAAGGAAATGTATCTTCTTCATTCTCTATTTCCTCTTCCCCAGTACAGAAGGAAGCTGCCATATTTAAGCCAATTTAAAATTCACTGGAGGTACTAACCTCTCGTGGTACAACAGAGCAAAACAGAGATGAGGTCAAAGTTCCTTAGGACATGTTTTTGGGACAGATGCAGACTAAGAGCTGCAATTTTATCTACTTGCAAACAGTCAGGGCAGGCGTAGGATAAAAGGCACTGAAAGACTCCTCCTTCCTCACAACAGGCCAGCTTTGTGCTCTCACTGCTATTCACAAAGAGGCCTAAGATCAAGGCCAGTCAGGCTCTGCCTGTCTTTCTTCTCTTTTACAAATAGCACTGAGTAAAATCATCACCAGAGATGAATACCCTGTTGACAGGCTCATGAAATATTGGAAACCACGGAGAATAAATGGGGCCCTTAACACATCTGAAGTAAAAGACTCTTCCAGAGTTTAGAATGGAATTGGGTCTAGAGCATTAAGCCCTATTAGTTGTAATCTTGAGCACAGAGCCAGGCATAAGCCCGAGGTGTGGCCCAAAAAACAAACAAAAGCTAAATTTGAGATTTGATACATATACGTGTTTATGAAACTAAGTTGAATTTATGAGTCTGGAGAATGGAAGAAAGTAAGGAACAGAGGCGCATATTTGAAAAACACAGATATTTTGATATGCACAGTCAACAGGAATCTGAGTTTATAGGGGCAGAAGATGGTGATCAGAGACGAGGAAGGGAGGTGGGGGGAGAGCATGGGAAAGAATACAACTGAACTCCAGGTAGGCTGCAAGAATTCCAAAATCAAAAGGATACACAGAACACAAACAACTTAGCAAAGGATGCTCTGAAAAGTAGCAGGAAACTATGAGGAAAAATATGAGTTCCCACTTTAGAAAAGCAGAAGATTGCACAAGGGACCATATAAATAAATTATACCTCAGTGTTATTGGAACTGCAAATAATAAAGAGGAACACTATCAGACATACATTTTTTAAAGCCTCTGGATAGTGCAGAGCAGAAAGAGAGCAGAAGCATGGAGCTGCTAATTTCCTCCAAAAACAATAAGCGTTCCACAAACAGGCTTCCATCTGACTACCTTTCACAAAAAGTAATTTTACAAAAGTCAAAATGTGTAGCAACACTTTTTTCTGCCAGCAATTCAATACTTTTATAATTACTCATCCACTAGAAAGGGAGAACTAATTTATCACAATCGGCTCTGTTCTATCTGTATACAGGTGCATGGACACATAACTGTTGAAATCACTATTTCACTGAAGGAACTACTAATTTCTAATCATTGCTACACACTCAAATTGAAAATTTCCTGAGGCAGAAGAATTGGAGATAAGCAGAAAAATCCTCACAATACCAAATACTATTAGTTTATTGCTGGACACACAAGTACTTTCCTAATTTGAAACTGTGTTCTCGGATCCTTTAGAAAGCCAGCACAGCAGGAAGGTGCTTGCCTTGCATGTGGGTGACCCAGGTTTGATCCCCAGCACCACATATGGTCCCCCAAGCCTGCCAGAAGTGATACCTGAGCATGGAGTCGGAGTAAACCCTGAGTAGTACCAGGTATGGCACAAAAACAAAACAGAAAACAAATATAATTGTGTTCTTACACACGGTAACCTTGGTTTAGAGAAAGCTAATATACCTTTATTTTCATAATTCTATTTAATTTCAAATTAAACACATAAAAATTCCTTTTACCTTAATCTACGGAGTGGCTGGGTCACCCACTTCTTTAACTTCCGTCTCCCAAATGACGTTTTGGTATGGTCTAAAACCCAAAATAAGCTTCCTCTGGTTTTCATATCAGTCTAAAAAAAGATCAGAACAAGTTTTATTAACTGGAAAATTGCATTTTATACTAAAATTGTTAGTGGCTCATGTGCACTAATTATCCCACATACCCTAACCTTAAAGATTATATATGTCTAGCATAGAGCTCAGTTCATTAACATTTTTATGAATAAATATATAACCATATAACACATGTAAATATATGTACAAATACATACACATACACAATATAAAGTATTGATATTTTGTAAGGAAAAGAATACATTCTATTGAAGCTGGAGAGATAGTATAAATAGTGGGTAGGGAGTTTGCCTTGCGCCTGATCCCTGATACAATATAAGGTCCCCAAACCCCACCAGGAGTCATCCCTGAGCTCAGAGCCAGAAGCAGGCTCTGATCACTACAGGCTGTGGGCCCAAAAAGAAAACAAACAAAAATACTATAGCTTCTGGTATAGTTTACATGTAGTTTTTGTTAAGTAACAATAAATTATTGAGGGTCAGAGTGACAATACAGTGAGTAGGGCATTTGCCTTGCATGCGGCCGACCCAGGTTCGATTCCCGGCACCCCATATGGTCCCTCGAGCACTGCCAGGCGTAATTCCTGAGTGAAGAGCCAGAAGTAATCACCAGGTGTGACACAAAAAGCCAAATTAATTAATTTAAAAAACAATAAATTATTAAGTCTTTTTCTAAAATACAGGCTTTTACTAAGCACCTTAAAAATATAATTGTACATGGTGGATTTGGAGGCAGAATATTGTATGCATGAAACACTATTATTTTGCTTTGTTTTGCTTTGGGGCCATACCTGGCAGTGTTCAGTGCTTACTCCTGGCTCTGTGCTCAAGAATCACTCCTGCAGTGGTGCTCAGGTAACCATAAGGAGTGTCAGGGAACGAACCCAGGTTGACCATGTGCAAAGCAAGAGCCCTACCTGCTGTACTACTATTATTAACAGCACTGCAAATCATGGGCCTAAATATAAGTTTAAATATACACATATACTTTAGACCTTGCTGCCTTGGGGAGTACAGTCAAGTTAGTTTTCCTTTGGCAATTCAGTAACTTCTACCATCTAAGGTTTGTCATTCTAAAGATGTAAACTCCCAGAATAATGAAAAAAAAAGGGGGGGGGGGGGGATAGATGCAAACCTGTTCTGTAAATTCCTCTAGAAATTTACCCTGGGAAGGTTTTATTTTACTATGTCTTAGTAGCTCTGAATAAAGATTTATGCATCTATATTTGAGTACTTGAAAGTTGAGACACACAATATTTGGGTGGGGTTTTTTGGTTTGTTTGTTTTGAACCATTAATTGGAGATGGTTGTTAATGGTTTCACTGTATTACAAGTCTATTAATAGGTTTATCTCTTACTTGGAAGATAAAATTGAAGTTTCATGAATTTTTCAAAGCTTCTTTCTTCAAATCAATAAGCACTTAGAGAAGACTTCTGATGTTCTCAGTAATGTGATAGCAAAAGTATATTATGACACGGTCACTCCCTTAAGGCACTTACAAGACACAATGCCATGTGGCAGATCCCAGCCATAAAAATATGATACAAGGTTCCCCAGACCTCAGAAGATTTGTTTGTTTTTGTTTGGAGGTCACTGGTTATGCTCGGATTTATTCCTGGCACTGTGAACAAGGCTGAAGGCTCACTCCTGGCAGGATTCAAGGGATCATATGGGGTATCAGGGGTCAAACCTGGGTCAGGTGCATGAAAGGCAATGGCACTACGTGCTGTATGATCGCTCCAGTCACCAGAACTAGGAACCTTAAGACAGAACATAAGCTATAGCAGTCGCTGAAAGCTGCGCAGTGGAGGAGGCAGACAGGGCAGTCCAACTGGCAACAAAACCAATAGTTTGACAAAAACACCCTCAATGCTATCAGGGGCCATGAAGAGGATGATGCAGGAGATCGTCTTCAGTGATCTGAAGAGAGGAAGAAGGCCTAAATCTCCAACAGCCTATCCTCCTTTCCCTTTTTCATCACCCCAGGTGCTGGAGTGCAAAGACAAGCAGATATCCGCTCAGTCTCTCTCAGAGAAGTTCTGACATTGAAAAGGACCTTAAATGATTAGCAGATGACTTTTGCCATAGGAATATGATTTCAGAACTGACCTCCCCACACTAGAGTTTGGACAGGGAAGAAATAGCCTGAGCAAGGAAAACCAGGTGGCCAGAGCTCCAGCTACCATCTCTGACAGTGAAATTCTCTCCATCCCTGAAAATTGTTCCTATAACTTATTTCTCAGCATGAAGATATACAGAGCTTATGAGAAGAATTTATGGAAAAATATCCTCAATTTCTAGATTATGGAATAAAAAGATAAAAATGGTAGTGAGTTACAAAGCAGTAATAATTAAAACAGCATGGTATTGGAACAAAGGCAGAGCTGCAGACCTATGGAACAGGGTTGAATATACTGACATCTCCCCTCAAACATATGATCATCTAAATCTTTGATAAAGGGGCAAGAAATGCGAAGTGGAGTAAGGAAAGCCTTTTTAACAAATGGTGCCGGCAAAACTGGACAACTACATGCCAAAAACTGGGCTTAGATCTCTGCCTAACACCATGTACAAAAGTAAGATCAAAATGGATTAAAGACCTCAACATCAGACCGGAAACCATAAGGTACATTGAAGACAAAGTTGGCAAAACCTTCCATGACACTGAAGCTAATGGTATCTGCAAAGATGTCACGCCACTGGCCAAGCAAGTGAAAACAGAGATAGACAAATGGGACTATCTTAAACTAAGAAGCTTCTGCACCTCAAAAGAAACAGTGACCAAAATACAAAGACAATCTACAGAATGGGAAAGGATATTCTCCAAATACACATCCAATAAGGGGTTGATATCAAGGATATACAAAGTACTGGCTGAACTCCACAAGAAGAAATCATCCAACCCCATCAAAAAGTGGGACAATGAAATGAACAGAGAATTTCTCAAAGAAGAAATCCGAATGGCTAAAAGGCACATGAGAAAATGCTCTACATCATTAATCATCAAGGAGATGCAGATCAAAACCACAATGAGATATCATTTCACACCACAGAGACTGGCCCACATTCAAAAGAACAAAAGCAACCTGTGTTGGCGCGGATGTGGCGAGAAAGGGACCCTCCTTCACTGCTGGTGGAAATGCCAACTGGTTCAACCCTTTTGGAAAACAGTATGGACATTCTCAAAAAACTAGAAATTGAGCTCCCATTTGACCCAGCAATACCACTCCTGGGAATATACCCTGGAGAGGCAAAAAAGTATAGTCGAAGTGAGATCTGCACTTGTTTGTTCATTGCAGCACTCTTTACAATAGCTAAAATATGGAAAACACCTGAGTGCCCGAGAACAGATGACTGGTTAAAGAAACTTTGGTACATCTACACAATGGAGTACGATGTTGCAGTTAGAAAAAATGAAGTCATGAAATTTACATACAAGTGGTATTACATGGAAAATATTACGCTAAGCGAAATGAGTCAGAAAGAGAGGGACAGACATAGAAATATTGCATTCATCTGGGTAACATAAAGTAACAAAATAAGAGACTAACACCCAAGAACAGCTGTGATAAATACCAGGTTGTTCACTCCATGGCTTAGAGGCCAGCTGCACACTCTAGGGGTAAAGGCAGCTCAGATAGAGAAGGGAGCACCAAATAAACGGAGCTGGGAAGATCTGCCCAGGACAGGAGATGCCTGCTGAAAGTAGTCTATGGACCGAACATGACTGCCACCCAATATCTCTTCTGCAGACCACAGCACCCGAAAGGAGAGATAGAACAAAAGGGAGTGCCCTGCCACAGAGGCAGAGTGTGATGGGAGATGGGGGGTGGGAGGGATACTGGGATTGTGGGGGTGGAGAATGGGCACTGGTGGTGGGATGGGTATTTGATTATTGTATAACTGAAACCCAAGCACAACAACTTGTAAGTCTACAACTGTACCTCATGGTGTTTCACTAACCAAAAAAAAAAAAAAAAAAAAAAAAAAAGACAAATAAACACCTGGCCAGTAGGCCAAAAAAAAAAAAATGTTGGTGAGTTAAAGCAAGTTCGACACGTATAGAACTTGGAAGAGAACTTGTAGGAGAACTTGGAAGATAAGACACTGAGTAGAGAAACTGATTAGGAATACAGAAGCCCTACGTCAGGAGAATAAACACAGCATTTACTTTAATATGTAATGTCAATAAACATTTCTTTAGAGCTGGGAGTAGTCCAAGATAAAAACAACCAAGCAAAATGATCAGTCATTTGTGGAAGCAGAATGCTTCCACAACTCCCAAAGTAACTTCCACAGGAGTATTTTACATATTTATTTGTCAGGGCTGGAGCAATAGCACAGCGGGTAGGGCGTTCGCCTTACAAGCGGCCAACATGGCCAACCCGAGTTCGATTCCTCCGCCCCTCTCGGAGAGCCCGGCAAGCTACTGAGAGTATTGGATATGCCAGACACAGTAACAACAAAGTCTCCAATGGAGACGTTACTGGGCCCGCTCGAGCAAATCGACGATCAACGGGAGGGCCTTTATTTGTCAAAAAAAAAATGAGTGCTACTGTTAACAAGTAGTAAGTAGATGACAGGCAGCAGAGTCAATATTATTTTCACTTTCATTCATAATAACAGAGGCTTACTTCATCCCAACCATTTTTCCCAAAGATTATTTGTATTAGCTAGTCCTTACTTATGTATATCTGACCTGATTTTGCAGAATTTCCAGATTTCTTAATGTTGATCCATTAATGGTCAGAAACTCCATTTCACCTGACAGCTGTTTAAAATTCCTATAAAAGAATGAAATATGAGCCATGAAATAAGTGCATAAAATTTTTTGTAGAGTGCAACTTAGGCAACAGAAATGTTCTGGTATATGACAACAGAAGTTAACCTTTTTGACGGGAAAAGAAACCAAAGGAAGGGGCCAAAGTGACGTACAGAAGTTAGGGTGTTTGCCTTGCATGTGGCATATTTGGGTTTGATCCCCAGCAAGTCATAAGGTCCCCTGAGCACCGCCAGGAGTAATTTCTGAGTGGAGTATAGAGCAGGAGTAATCCCTGAGCATCACTAGGTGAGACCCAAAAAAGGATTAAAAAAAACAAAGGGAGCAAAGAAATTCTCATTTGGATGTAGTTTTCTCTTGGTGCTGTAAAACAGAGGAACTAAAAGAAGATTGTTGTTTTTGCACCAAACTCTAGAGCAGGGAAGGAGAGAGTAACAGATCTACTTTTCTCCTCTTTCTTTCTTCTTTTCTTAAAAAAAGTTTCCAGGAATAGAACCAAATATAGTTTTCTATCACTGGCAGAGTAAGTGGTAGCATCTTCAGGAAAAAGCTATGCAATTAGCTAGGAAAATGTGTCAAGATAACTTTAAAATGTTCTCCTTATTCTTTACCATGAAATTATCTTGGTAAACATTTTAAAACCTTTTAATCAACATCCTGATATATGCAACAAAAATTATTTACTCTAGAATTAACAGCACGTTAATCGGGCTAATATTTAAGGAGAATATCGAACTGAAAAAGGAGCAGAAGTTATTTTGCTAAGCTCAGAAAATTCACATTTTCCTTATTCCTTACGACTCCTTAGCCCAAATTAGATCAAAAGTTCGATAAATTTCTAGTAAATTTGCATACTGAGTTGCAAAATGATTAATGTGTGTACGATCTCAATTTTATCCAGATTAGTCTTCTTGTTAAAAGTGTATTAATCAACACATCATTAACAGAGTAATTCAATTTTCTCTGTAAGTCAGTCTGTCCATACTCCTTTACACAGCACAGAGTCGGTGGATTCTTTTTGTTTGCCTGTTTGTTTTTAACAAGGTAGTTCATGATTGGATTTCAGTTACACAATGTTCCAATACCCACCCCTTCACCAGTGTACACTTCCCACTAACGATATCCCTAGTTTCCCTGCTGCACTTCCCCTCAACCCTGACTCTGTGGCAGGCACTTTCCTTCCATCCCTTCCTCCGTCCTTCCCCTCTTTCCTTTTGGGTATTATGGTCTGCAATACAGATTCTGAAAGATTATCTTGTACATCCCTTTACCTACTTTCAACACATGGTTCTTATCCAGAGTGATCATTTCTAACTATTATCATCATATTGGTCCCTTTTCTATCCTAACTACACTTTGCTTTCCATATACCTGTGGCAAGCTTACGGCCAACTGACCATTCCTCCTGGACCTTGTTTTTCTTGCCTTGAATTAGTCTCATACTTTTTTTTTTATATATATATCCCACATGTCTCCTACCCTATGCCTGACTGTCTCCACCAGGGCCCAACAGCTGAAGACCACCGAGGCCCAGCCAAGGACATGCTGGGAGCAGTCTCCACACACTTGGATGAGCCTCACGCATAAAAGAACTGACAGAGGAACCCAGGTGTGTGGGACCCGGGGCTGAGATCTCCAAGCCTGCACAGTTTGGGACTGGACCTGCCAGTAACTAGACAGTTACACCCACCAACTGCCGTGTAACTCCAACAACGGCCAGGATCCAGAGATCATCACACTCAGCTCCTGGGAGAGAACAAGACAGAGTCTCCTACCCTATGCCTGACTGTCTCCACCAGGGCCCAACAGCTGAAGACCACCGAGGCCCAGCCAAGGACATGCTGGGAGCACTCTCCACACACTTGGATGAGCCTCACGCATAAAAGAACTGACAGAGGAACCCAGGTGTGTGGGACCCGGGGCTGAGATCTCCAAGCCTGCACAGTTTGGGACTGGACCTGCCAGTAACTAGACAGTTATACCCACCAACTGCCGTGTAACTCCAACAACGGCCAGGATCCAGAGATTATCACACCCAGCTCCCGCGCGACATCTTATCATCTCATTCCTAATTTGGTCAAACTGGCAGGCTACCAAATGTAACATGCCCACACGGCAGAGTCTGGCAAACTCCCCGTGGTATACCCAATATGCCAAATACCAGTAACAATGATGGGTCTCATTCTCCTAACCCTGAAAAAAGCCTTGAATATGGCACTTTAAAAAAAAAAAATCTCAGGGCTAGGACGAAGAAGACGTTACTGGCACCTGCTCGAGGCAATCGACGAACAACAGGGTGGTCGTGATCGTGATCGTGATATATCCCACAGGCAGAGCCTGGCAAGCTACCCGTGGTGTCTTCAATATGCCAGAAACAGTAACTATAATGGGCTTCATTCCTCTGACCCTGAAAGAGCCTCCAATACAGCAGTGTTGGGAAGGACGAATAACGAGATGCTGCTAAAATCTCAGGATTGGGGCTGGAGCAATAGCACAGTGGGTAGGGCGTTTGCCTTGCACGCGGCCGACCCAGGTTCAATTCCCAGCATCCCATATGGTCCCCTGAGCACCGCCAGGGGTAATTCCTGAGCGCAGAGCCAGGAGTAACCCCTGTGCATCGCCGGGTATGACCCAAAAAGCAAATAAAATAAAATAAAATCTCAGGACTGGGACGAATGGAGATGTTACTGGCACCTGCTCGAGCAAATCAATGAACAATGGGACAACAGTGATACAGTGATATAGTGATATCTCACAAGTGAGTGCAGTCATTTTGTATCTGTCCTTCTCCTTCTGACTCATTTGCTCAGCATGACACTCTCTAAGTCCATTCATTTAAAGGCAAATTTCATAACTTAATTTTTCCTAAGAGCCGTGTAGTACTCCACTGTGTAGATGTACCATAGTTTCTTTATCCAGTCATCTGTTATCAGGCATTCAGGTTGTTTCCAGATTCTGGCTATTGTGAATAGTGCTGCAATGAACTAATAGTGCAGATGGCACTTCTGTATGTTTTTGGGCCTCCAGGATATATTCCCAGAAGTGGTATTGCTAGAGAACCAGAACCAGCCACACCCATGCTGAGACCACTCTCCACATGCATGAAGATGGCAGAGGAACAAAGGCATGCGGGTCCTGGGGCTGAGATCTCCAAGCCTGCTTGGATCGGGGCTGAGCATCCTCCACCCAGATCCTCCATCTTCCAGGGGTCACACCCACCAAATGGCCCCCTGGCGCCATGTAATCCCATCAATGCCAAGACCCAGAGACTATAAAACCCAGCTCCCAGAAGACATCTTATTATCTCATTCTTGCTTTGGACAACCTGGCAGGCTTCCGAATGTAACCTGCCCATATAGCAGAGTCAGGCAAACTCCCTGTGGCATACCCAATATGCCAAATACCAGTAACAATGATGGGTCTCATTCTCCTAACCCTGAAAGAGCCTTGAATATGGAACTTTTTTAAAATCTTAGGCCTAGGACGAAGGAGACAATTCTGGTGCCTGCTCAAGGCAATCGACGAACAACAGGATGATCGTGATCATGGTATTGCTGGGTCATACAGACACTCAATTTCTAGTTTTTTTGAGGAATACCCATATTGTTTTACAAGAAGCTGAACCAGTTGGTATCTCCACCAAAAATGAATGAGAATCCCTTTCTCCCCGCATATGCACCAGCACTGGTTGTTCTTCTTCTTTTGGGTGGATTATTTTTAAAGGCAAGAAAAATAACAAGTCACTAACCTACTTGGAGAGAAAGCATTAGTACCTGTATTGAAACAACCACACTTAGGAAGTCAGTTCTGGGATTTAAATGAAATCCAACTTCCCAAGCCAGTTATGAAACAAGCTCCAGCCAATCATTTAGAACCTACATTCAAAGGTACATCATTTCTAGATAACTCCCCCAACTAAAGCTCCAATATCCTAAAAAAGGAAATAACTTACTGCCTATGAAGAATGTTGCCTAGAAATAGAACACTGTCCTGTGGTAGTTAATTTATGTGACATGTTTGACATACCTTTGGAAAGATGCTAGCTAGCAGCTAGGGCGATATCCTTGCATGTGATCATCCTGGGTGCTGCCAACCCAGGTTTGATCCCAGAACCCCAGATGGTGCCCCAGCCCACCAGGAGTGACCTTTGAGTGTACCAGGAGTGAGCCCTGAACACTGCCAGGTGTGTCGCTCCCACCCCCATCCCAAATCACCAAAAAAAGAAGCTAGCTAATGATTTTCACAAGGCAGCTACTCGAACACTGACTGATAGCCAGTGTGTGTGGCCCTCTTTCATTTTATGACACAGCGCTTCATGTGCCTTGAATTACAGGAAGCAATTTCTCTGTTACCTCTCTAATAGAGCTAAGCTTGTTAGAGGCAAGGGTTCCTTAGATCATACATATTTTTTAACACCTGCAAAACCTAGCAGAAAGCAGATGCTCAATCAATAACTGGCATCTTTCTAGGGGAAGGTTAGTTTTCGCTTTTTTTTTGGTGGGGGGGCGATTTGGGGACCATACACAGTGATGCTCAGGCCTCTTAGCTCTGTGCTCTGAGATCTCTCCTGGCAGGCTCTGGGGACCATATGGGGTGCCAGCAAGCAAATCTGAGTCAGCTTTGTGCAATACAAGTGCCTTACCTGCTATATTAATCACTTCCACCCAGAAGGGGTAAGTTAGTTTTGAGTTTGCTACATTTGAGTCTTAAAACTGTAAATACCTGGGATATCAGTAAAATATGAAACATTATGTTCACTGGGCAGAAAAGACCATACAGGGGTGAAGGTGCATGCTTTGCATGCAGCTGGCCCAGACTGATCCTGAGTACAACATGGTCCACTTGAGCACTGCTGGGTACGTCCCAGGTTACCTCCAGCACTGCAGGGCCTGCGTAGCACCACATTTTCAGGCCCTATATTGAAATGTCAGTCTGGTTGGCCAAGAATTGCTGGGAGGGGACCTTGGGCCACCAGAGCACCCTTTGGGAAATAACATCCTTCCC